GTAATTATTTGTGGCAACGAATCTTTACTTGCACCGGCTGTCCTAAATTTTATAGGATGTATTTCTTTGATCCGGAAATAACCGGGTTTATTTGGAAAGTTGCTCGGGATGTTTAGACAATAATAAAAGTTTCTGTTCGCTATCGTCTACGAAGGAATTTTTAAGATCGTTGCTAGACTAGGTTTATTGTTTTCGGGCGTCGACACGATTTCTATTTGCGCGCCTATCGCGTCGAAGTCCGAGTCTGTTCGCGTTATTTATTGAGAAAAAAAAAAAGCAATTTATTGTATTGTCGGCGCGTCACGTTGCAAGAAAAAAGGGCCCGTGGAGTTCCGAGGACGTAACAGTATGTATGTATATAAAAAAAACTTGTGATATGTCGGTGGTTTCGTTTTGCGCGCAATGTGCGCATGTATTGACTAAACTATAAAACTAAGATATAAACTAACATGAACACTAAGATATAAAAATTTTTATTAAGATCTTTTGTTTCTATGTATATATTACTACGGAATGTATTTACTAGCGCCTTTTATTTATGTTTATTTATGTAGTTAGTTTATCTTTTAATCTTTGTTGTATGTAATATATATATATATAGTCATAAAGGAAGTCGGGAATCGGAATCAAACGTTGCACATTTAAAAAAATTCCACACTTGTATAATATAAAAAGAATTTATTCGTTACTACTTAATATTCATTATTAAGTACATTTGTATTTTATAAAATCGTACCATAAAAAAATCTAACAATATAAAACCAAACAATATACGTATGCGTGTGCATGTGTATTAAAAAACTTGTGATGTAAAGTCATCCTCAGAGACCTAAGATTACAAATTATATATATATATACATTGGCACATAATTAATAAAAAATAAATACAATAAAAAATATATAAATAAAGTTACAAATAACGCACCTTGGATTGAATATCGTTCACTACACAGTTATAACATGTCAAAATTATTGAGATTAGTCATAAGATAAAATTGAGACTGTGTTTGTGTCACGTAAGTTAAAGACTGTGTTTGTGTCGAAAGTCAATCCTTACAATAAGGTATATGTTGATGTATGTAAGCACTCTCTATTTGAAATCATTGACATTATTTTTGTAATTTATGCAAGATCGGTAAATAGGATTCATCTAACATTTTTGTGTCACTCATTATATCTATTGTATTTTTATGTAATTTAATTTGTATCATTTCAGATGTTAATCTTTTGTTGTAATTCGGTTTTGAGTCTAAAATTTGTACTGAATCCCATTTGAAATTGTGTCCTGTGTTAAGGTAGTGCTGCGCAATAACTGAACTTAGATTATTATATTTGATGTAGTTCTTGTGTTCTTTTAATCTAGTGTTCAACTGTCTTTTCGTTTGACCTACGTAATTAGAATCACAGGAGTTACATCGTATGTAGTAAATTACATTTTTTTGTGCGTATTTAGGGATATTGTCTTTGTGAGTTTTTATAAATTTTGTTAAGTGATGCAGGTGTCTGTAGGCTAGTCTAATGTTGTGTTTGTTGATCTTGAATATATTGTTGTCTTTATCGAAAAGATTAGGAATGTAAGGTATATATATATATATATATATATATATAATAATAATAATAATAATATTAGTATTATTATTATTATTATTAATGCAATTGAATACATATAAATAATGAGTGGGCGAAGCAATATCTTTCCAGAGCCCTGAACTTAGCAGGAGTGAGGGTACCTTGGACTAGCGGACTCACACAGAGCCCCGTACAGTCCGCTATTTCGAGGTTCTACTGTAGTAACGTTAAGGATGTAGCTCAGTCTGTCGGTGGCCGTCGCGCTAGTTGGTGATTCGGTTTGTTTTTGTGCGTCGTTATTATCGAGACTTTTGTTTCGTGTGCTGTTTGATGGCGATGCGTGACTGATGGACTGAGTTCTTCCTATACCTACAAACCTGCCTGTAAGTTTCCAAAAACCTTGTAATTTGGGTTATGCGTTATTAACTCCTTGCGTTAGCTTGTTTAACAAATTTCTATATTGTTATATGTAGTACACTGAAGAAGACCCAAATTAAGGGTCAAAACGTTTGTTCAAAAATATTCCAAATAAAGAAATTTATTGACTTGAAGATCTGATTATTGCCTCAATTGGCCACTTCCCTACTTATTATAATATTTTACGAGGAAGATTACAGAAGTTAAATAAGTATCTATTGGGAGTACAAATTAGTTTGGTCCGTTTTTTTGTGTTCAAAAATGAATTTATTTCAAAACAAAATAAATTAACAGATTTATTAAAGTATTGTCCATCGCTGGCTACTACTTTTTCTCATCTCTTAGACAATTTTCGAATTCCATCTCGAAAAACTGACTCGTCTTTGGAGGCAATTCAAGTTTGGAGCAATTTTCGATTTCTGCGAAAGAAGTGAACCGGTGACCTGCCAAATCGTGCTGCATCCTTCGGAACAACCAGTAATCAGAAGGAGTAATGTCCGGAGAATACGGCGGGTGCGGTAAAACATTCCATTTGAGCGTTTCCAAATATTTTTTTTCGACTTTTGCGGCATGAGGTCGAGCGTTGTCATGAAGAAGAATAACTTTATCATGTCTTTGCTCGTATTCCGGCCGTTTTTCTCGCAATGCACGGCTCAAACAAATCAATTGTAGCCGATACAGATTGCCTATAATAGAATCGCCAGGTTTCAGCAGCTCTTAGTAAACAACACCCTTTTGGTCCCACCAGATACAGAGCATAATCTTCGAACCATAAATGTTCGGGTTTAGTGTTGATGTTGAGGTCGATGGCAACGATTGACCGGGCTCTTAGCGTAGTATTTTTTCTTCTTGGGGTTGTCGTAGAATATCCACTTCTCATCTCCAGTTACAATCCAATGCAAAAAACCTTTTCTTTGAATCAGCAGTTCGCAAGTGAAAAATCTCCTTTCAACGTCTCTCGGTTTTAGTTCATAAGGCACCCAATTTCCTTATTTTTGAATCATTCAATCGTACAGAAAGGGCTTGTTGAGTTACTCCCATTGATTCTGCAAGCTCCTCTTGCGTTTGACTCTGATCTTCTTCGAGTAATGCCTCTTCGTCTATGCCAAGTCTTTGTCTTCGAATTTTTTTGGCTGTCCAGAGCGAGGGTTGTCTTCATCGCTGAAATCTCCATCCTTGAAACGTCGAAACTATTTCCTACATGATTTATCAATTGGAGCAGTGTCACTATAAACTTTGAAAAGCATTCGATGGGCTTCAGCTGCACTTTTCTTCCAATTAAAGCAGAAAATTAAAACCTTCCGCAAATGCTGCTTGGTTAACACAAAATTCGACATTTCAAACACAGTAAAAATCAAGGTTCTTGTATGAAACTCAATGCGATATAAACTGAATATTATTAGCAGATGTCTAACCTCTCTGAAACTGCCAAAATCAGCTGTCACTATGAACCATTCACAACATTTGGAGCCATCTTTTGGAAACGGACCGAACTACTTTGTACTCCCAATAATAATAAGATTGTACCTAATAATAACAGCAAAAGAATTATATTACTGCAAATAATAATAAAGAATATTGAAATATATGTTTATAATGAATTTACAACACTATCCTAATATTATGTATATCTAATTTTTATTTTCATTATTATATCAATAACGTTGTATTGTTATTTTATCTGCTTAATCCTATATCTTTATCACAGTATAGGTAGAATACAGTAGGTTCACTCGATGTCGGCACCTTTGATCTCGATAACTAAAAGATCGCTATGTTGCTAGTTGTGCGATTCGGTCATGCGCTAGAGACAACTTTTAGTACAAGTTTTCGCAAAGTAAACCTACTATATCTTACCTATACTGTGATCTTTATGTATCAATATACAGGTCAAACAAGAATAAATATATATAAATGTCAAATGTGTAAATATGTGTACTAAATAAAGCGTTTTCGATATGTAAATGCATTATAAAACAATGTATCGTAAAAAAATATACATGGTTGAATTCAGAAAAATAGGGTAAATTTGCATATTAAGGGCGACCTCACCGATTTCAATGACCTTGACATATATTGTCAAGGTAACCGTCCTGGGTAACAATCGGAAAGTTTTAGCCGTTGTTCTTCGTTACAAAGTTATAGACGAAAAAAGTTTTACAATTAAACTATCGTTTTGTCACACCGTATATATTTTAGACAAAGAATATATAATGTTTTAAACATATGTGTGCGAAATGTATAATAGTTTATACATAATATGTCTTACACATAAGTATTTAGTTTATAAACAATGAAATTTAAAATTAAGAAAGAAATCTTAAATTTAAACGTAAAAATCACAATTTCTACCTGTTGGCGGGGGGCTGCGCCCCCCACAAGGGGGCTTTGCCCCTTGCAGGGGAGGGGCTACACTCCTCCACCTGCACCCCCCTCCCTACACGCTTACAACATGAACAAAAAGAACATATATAAACAAAGTAGTCTTCTTTTAGTACTTTTGGGGGTGCAGAAAGGGGGTCGAGCCTTTTTCTCGCAAACACGTGCAATAGTGTAAAGGTACAATTTCATAGTGTCGCTTGTCGCTGAGATGAGTAGTCACGTGATCGAATTTTGTCCACTTTCTTGTCGCTAGCGATGCCGAAGAAAAGTTGGATTGAATCTAACTTTTAGCGACGTCGCTCTCACGCAAAATGAGTTTGAATATGGAATCGCAAGATGTAAGTACAATAAATAAATAAAGAAATAAGTACAAGTTTCTTATATTTATTGTAGTAAAATATTGGAATTAAAAAATCAAATAAATAGAATGAATTCAGTTTGTTATAATTTCAAGGTTAACTGTTAGGTTAATGTATTACAAAGTTAATGTAATCATGCACAGCAGGATAAAAATTGTTAACATTAATTAATATAATTTCATACAATTTTCAGATAGCTGTTGTACATACTTGTGGAATATGTGAAATGATTATCGAGAAAAAGAGTATTCCGTCTTATGATTGCGTGGAAGGATACAATCGGTTCTTCATCGATACAAATTTTTATTTCTATCCAGTAACAAGTATAATATATATATTTACTTACTTTTTGTTTTGTCAGTGAGAAAAATAATATTCTACAAAAATTGATATTATTATTGATATTATTATTTGTAGATGATAATCGCATTGTTCGACGAAGCCTTGTCGACAATGAAGAAGTTGTCTTGCCGGTTGAAAAAGTTACAAGTAAATAGAAACTTTGAAATCCTGAAAGTTGCAGTAATAAGTGCATTTTTTAAAATAAAATTGATTTTACGAACCATAAAAATATTTCTGTCAAACAAAGAAACATCACAAGGAAAAAATGAAAGTAGATTTCATAATAAAAAAGCCAAAAGAAAAACCGTAAAGTCATTGAATTACGACGACGAGGAACTCCTAATTTTATCCGTTCAAGAAAAAAGACCCTTGTGGGATTTTACTATTCCATTAGAACAGCGATGCCAACGATTGACAAAAAAATTGTGGGATGAAGTCTCGGAAACATTGGGAAGTAAAAAAACGTTAAAAACATTCGTGGTTAAAATATTTAAAAAAAATTTATTTACAGGCAAACTTAGCGGGGAAGAAGCAAAAAAAAAGTTTAAAAATTTACATGATGCCTATCGACGAATAATTCAGTCCGAAAATCTTTCTAGTGGATCAGCTAGACCTCCTCCTACAAAAAAGTGGCACCATTATGACTCTATGGAATTCCTGCGTGACTTCTGTCTTGTCAAAAAGTAAAAATTATATATTTTGATTACGTACGCTTTCGAACTGTTTTGTTTTTAACTTGTAATTTTTATATTTCTAGGGGAAAAGTTTCTAATATTGATGTTAATGATGATGACTCTTTAAATAATATTGACCAATCAATAAATGATGATGATGCAACTGGCAATGATCAATTAGAATCAGGAGCATCAGGTACTTGACTTATAGTAATATCTGTCTTGAATGTTTTATGCTAAAGTGGTCTTAACAGAAACAAGAAGTATAAGAGTGACCTATAAGAAATAAAAAAAAAAAAAGGTAAAAGCTCTTGACTATTATTTGATCAATAATTAAAATATAAAAATAATAATAACAATAAACAACCAATAAATTGCAGATACGCAAATTAAAAGAAAAAAGAATTTAGGACAGCAGTCCAGTGCATTAGATAGAATTGCTGATTCACTTTGTCAACCATCAACTCCATTTGCACTACCGCCAGCACCCAAGTATGATGAAATTGATTCGTCTTTAGCAGTAATCGGATGGAGGTTGAGACAGATGAATCCAAAAAAGCAGTTACATGTTATTCAGCAAATAATGAACCTAACATATGATATACTTAGAGAAGATTAAGCTTTATTGATTTGTTTTAAGTAAAAAATGTGTTCTTTTATGTTACATTTTGTTCATTTCATTCTATTATTGTTTTGAAAAGATATGTGTATAATAAAGTTTATAATAAAATTTATATAAAGTTAGTAAATATTATTAATTATTTATATAAAGTTAATAAAATCAATAAACACAAACACAAACAAGACATAAGCAAGACAAAACATTTTTAAACAAGTAAAATTGCATATANAATTAATCTATACAATTAATGATTAGAAGAACTAACAATGATAGAACTGGCTTGGTATAGCACCTTCACTATTAAAATATTTACAGAATTCTTCTCGAATTTGCATCGCTCGACGAGAACTATTATTAGAACCGCAATGAGTTATGTTTGCAAATGCACTATTATCTATGCAATTTCTCCAAGAGCCTG